TATAAAGTACCTTTTTGTAAATCCGGCAAAAACACTAGCAATTCTTATTTAAACATTAATTAATTCAATTCTAATCTAGAAATTTATTATTAGTCGTTCAAAAGCACAACATAAAAAAATAACAATAAACTAATTCTAAATTAAGCATCTGCGTCTCAAAACCGTGCAAGACGAAACGAGACGAAACAATAAAAAAATATTATTTCGATAAAACAGGTATGAAACGAAACAATTTTCATACAATTTCGTAAAAAAGGTACAAAACGAAATAAAATTTTCTTGTTTCGTGAAAAATACGGTACAAATCGAAACAATAATTTCGGTACCAGTACGAAAACGAAATAAGATTAAACTTCTTAGTTAAACTTTCGTTTACAAAACATTAAGTTAGTATGTATTAAACGCGCATTTATTCTGCTTGAATGTTAAAGTTCACGTATTGCTCGGGGTGTGGAAATCGTAAAATATTTGTTTGGGGCGGGGGAATTATGAAATTTTTGCTAAAAGTGGAATGTAATTGGTTAACTTTAAATTATGATAATTAGGGGGTGTTTAATAAAAAATTATGTTACAACTAAGACTGTTTCTTGAGAAATGACGTAATTTAACTTCGTTCTCCCTCAAGCTATTATATCTCTTTGGTCATACTTTTCATAAAAGTTTTAAAACTCATACTCCACATAAAAGTTTTATACATAACTATTGTTAAAACAATACGGTTTATAATAACTAAGTATAATAACAAAATAACTGTATTACTGAATATTCTGCAGCCGAATATTCGGTGCTTCGGCCGAGCACCTAGCCGAATATTCGATATATGGTATTCGGCAAAATCACTATTCGTGACTTCTCTACTTCAACATTAATCACTTTCTAAGAAAATTGATAAATGTTGTGTTTTAGTTGTTTTTGTTTTTTTAATTAGTTACAAAATACATAGATTTTATTTTGTTACATAATTAACTTTATATCATTAATATATTTTAAATTAGTTTGTTTTAAAGATGATATAAACTTAAGACTTATTTTAAATTAGTTTATTTTAAAGATGACATAAAGTTCCTTTCATAACAAAAAATTTTGACCTTCTACTATTTGACCCACCCAGTAGTATTGCCCCCCCCCCCCCTTAATATAATTTTTGTTCCTACGGGCCTGTATATATCATCTATTCGATAATTTTATCAAAAAAACTGTTAGGTGCTTGTTTATCTCAATGATATGTATTACGTATTTATATATCATTGTTTTATCTTTAGACGCGCACCCGTATAATTTGTATCGTAAATTTTTCACTCTTTTTTTTTTTTTTTAAAAAACCCAACATTCCTACAAGAGCTAAAATAAACTATCTTGCTAAAGATGTTCAGTTACCGCACGCTACGGTACTTATTGTCGTCACAATCTTACTTTGCTTAGCAAAGTTGCAATTATAATTTTGCAAAGTTTTTGAGTTAACATTCTATTATTCTAATAATCAAGGGCAAAATTTGTTTGATTAATACCTATTATGGTTTATAAATTTTTTATAAACCATGCAATATTACGTTTTGTCGCCACCGCAAAGTTCTGACGCAATGTTTTCTTTTTAATTTTTTAAGTATCTTGGTGGGTTCAATAAACTTACGTTTATTATTCTTTAAAAACACGATTTTGTGGATTAAATGTTTTACATTGTTATCTTGTTATACATAAACAACAGAGTTTTTTTTTTGTTTTTGAGTTTGGTCTCCTGTCGAATTACTCAGGCTACACTAACTTCGGGTTTCTCTTTTATGTAGAAAACTATTGATGTCTTTGTACGAAGCGTCTTTTTTAAAATAAAGTCGACTTGTATACGAGTTTTAAGATAATAATTCACTTCAAAGATTTTTTTTATATTGGGAGTATTTAAATTTAGTTTTGATTCATGTTAATTTTTGTTTGCTATTAACTTTTTTTTGTTTTAATTTTTCTAATTATAACTTGCCTTAAAACTAAGTAATTTTTGGTCATAGAAAAATAATCATTAAAAAAAGTACGTTTTTTACAGATAAATGCTACGCTACCAAACGTCACCTACTTTACACTGGCAAAGAATATATAAAGTGAATAAAGACTTTTTTTTTTTAATCTGATAAGTTTTATGCGTAAACTTAAGTTAAGGTATCCCAACCATTCTGATTTACGCAAGCGTAATAAACTTTTGAAGTAAAGAAATGTTTTTATGTAAAAGACTTGCGTTTGATGGTGTAAACAAATACTTTTAATTGAAGTATCAACGCGTTATCAGAAGATGGTCTTGGCTCTTTGATTTAAAATACTTCACATCAATAATTCATTGTAAAAAAAAAAAAAAAAAATTAAAAACCATTATTTAAACGCGATCATATAATTTCTTATAATAAAAATGACGACATATATTATTTCATTTGAAAAGTTGTGTAGTTTGTTCCGGTTGTTTGTTTATAATTAGATAGTTCCAAACCTGACACAGCTTGAACGTGCCAACTTTTAC